CAATCCCCGAGGAAAGAAAGAGGAATAATAATAATAATAGCAACAACAAGGATAGTCGTAAATGGGAAAAAGATTTTATTAACTCGCACACAACAAGCGGAGGATATTTGTAGATTTTTGCGCGTCGTGATTGCATCCAGATTAGAGCGACCGTGCAGCTAGGATCGGAACGGTGTATCGGTGGTCCTCTGCGTGTATCGATCTCGATTGGCAGCGGGCCGACGCTCGATGCAAAAACGCTTTACGCCCTTCCACCGAACCCTCCGCGAATCTCGTTAAACTGTCCTCCCCAGACGCGCGGCCCGAAACGATTCTCCGTGGAAATTCGCGGTTTTATCGAAAATTCATACCGGGCCATGATGCCGCGTGCACGTGTGCATGAATATGTATGTGTAGGAAGGCGGGTACGCAGCCACGGCTTGGCACACGTGTGCACAGGATAGGGTATATCCACCTGGCGCAGAAATTGGATCACCCCTGAAAGGTCAGGTGGAACGCGTTATCCGCGATACAGGCCCCGGAAGATGGAAATCGAAACACGTTCGCAGTCTTCCGGGATAGGTTATTACTCGCTGCCTCTCGATAATTGCGCTCTCAATGAACAAAATCGACTTTTGACCACACGGCTCGTCGATGGTCATTCACTCGACGTTCGACGATCTCGAACTTTTTCTTTGCTATTCCTACGCGAGTCACCGCGATTGCTCGATGGATTTTAAACAGCGAGCGACTATGGTAGTCAACGCAACGTTATTAATAATATTAATAGGTGCTCGAAGTTTGGAAATCGATCGTTTCGGGGAATCGTGTCGACAAAAATCGAATCGCTCGAAAGAAACTCCTGGTAGACAACCCCGATTCAAGTCTTTGCGGGACTACCCGGCCCATCCACCAAACTCTTCAACCGCGCCAAGTTGAATCCAGTGGTTCAAGCTGCGAAACGGCCGATTCAATTGGAGATTCTGTGAGCTCCTGGTCACGGCCTTGTAAATCCTATCAAACCGCGAGCGAGCGAGCGCTGTTGTAATCCGAACGGCGACCATTTCCAAGCACAGTGGATGGAAAATTGGACGAGCGTCGGACATGTGGCCCGGCCAGGAATTATTCAAGAAGCGGGTGCAGTGTAAACGGCGCGGCGAGGCGAACGGTTCTATGGGAACCGCTCCGACCAGAACGTTTCTCTTTCGGCATAATTGAGCGAACGGATATTAATCAGCCATGAATTCGTGGCGAATACCGAGGAATCTTTTCTGGCCAACATCCCCGCGAAGCTATTCAAATACTTGCTCCCGTGTAGATCGACGACTAAGAATAGGACGAGAAGAAATCAAAGGAAGAGATATTATGCTAGAATTCGCGAAATTTTGCCGGACAAAGAAGATTAGAGATAACTCCTACCGCACTGTTCGTTCACGTCACAGCCCCATCTTTCTAATGTTTGTTGGAAAATTCATGAATTCGAGTATAGTTCGGTAATGTAAATGGAAAATGGTTATTCGATTGAATATTTTCGGAAATAAATCGGAACGCGTAGAACAAAACAAACGTTCAATCGACATTGAAATCGATCGGTTTGCCCTCCGAACGTTTCCATGAAAATCTTGGGTAGAGCGAGCATGCAACGAACGGACGCAAACCTTCCCATTTTTCCGATACCGCGTATATATCCAGCAATTCCTCTCAAGAGCCGGAAGAAAAGCCAGAAGCCAATTGCGAGCACTTGAACGACGCGCGACTGAATCCTCGATTGGCCGCAGAGACGGTTCATTACCCTCGTCAAGCGCAATCCGTGACTATACGTACCAGCAGCTGCGAGGGATCAGGGAAAACAAGAGTCCTGGCCGACCGCGAGAGACTTCGAGGGAGTTCGATCGGGCTCATCGTCCCGTTGTTCGTCGTGAAATCGTCGTTATCGCCATCGTCATCACGGTCCTCGTTCTTCAGGGTCTGCACCAAACACCCCGACAGGCAAACGAGCAACAGCGTCAAGAAGACACTTGTCCCAGTCATTGGAGCAGCTTCACAAGCCCCGAGTGACAGAATAGTCGCGAAGCAAGTTGAAACGAAACTAAAAACTTCCTCGAACCGAACGCTCAACGAAATTTTACGAACTGAAAAATCGTTGTTACAGCGACAACGGACGGCGTTCGGATGACATTGGTCCATCGAGAAGTAACTGTAAAGATACCGGTCCCGCTGTAATTCGCGAAATAATAGGCGTCAATATTTAATCGGAAGACAGACTCCTCGAACCGGTTTGCTCGTTCAATTGGCTGATTCACACCGATGAAGGCTGCTAACTCGAGGATAGGACTTTGGTCAACGGGAAACCTCGTTAACGCGGCTGGTTCTAAAAGGACTGGCACGTTGGTCTTTGATTAGTCTTCGTTTGGGTTTCGAATTTAGCTCGTCCGTGAGAATACCTACGAGTTCTTTGATTCTTGCTACGACTGTATTATTCCCGGAGATTGAACGGCTGATTTTGTCAACGCGTCTCCGGTTGGGATACACTCTATGTATGTAAGCTTCGGCTAGGAATTAAGTCACAGATCGTAATAACCAAAAAAGTACTTTATTATAATAGAATTGAAGAAAAGGAAAGAAACAAATAATAATTAATAAGGTTAAGAAAATCCGATGCTCGAGCTGTTGCGACGCTGAAACCCAACTGATTTGCTTCCTGCTCGATTCCTCCTACGCATTCGCTTCTCTTTTGTTCATCACTCAACTCCATGCACCGTGCAGAATTTCTATGATTCCTAATTTGAATATTAAATATTCAATCTTAAATCTACCGTTCATCGCCATACTTCTTGTACAATATGTACGTACCTACAATAGCGTACCGATCTCAGGGACCAAAAACGGACCTTCTCGAGAAGGTTCTCTCGGGTCGGGTATCTGGCTCGCGACCCGCAATTTCGAAACAAGGTGAAACCTTCGCGAAGCGCCTGGCAGTCTACAAGACCGGCATTAAATTGAATTACAACCTCTGAATGGCCGTCGTAAAACTCTAGCTCGTTATGTACACGAATCTTTTCCCCGCGAACGCGGCCACGCATACCCGGTTTCATCTATGTGGGTTAAACGATGTCCATTTGTCGTTCCTTATCCGCCTGGCCGAGTCGCTCGAGCAGGAAATCGAAAGCTTGTACCGCGACTGGGGCGTTTCGGTCGGCGAAACGATCGATGGGTGGATCGAGGGAATCGACGACGATACCGTGATAACATTTCTTTAAAGTGCGAAACACTTTCGGTGATCTTTTCGCGACGCTAAACGAACGTCCTCGAGCTTTGGTATGCATGAAACTGCTTTATTGGATACGATGCGACGCGCGAGCACGTATACAGCCGGTATTAAATTTTCGCGGCAATTTTTCTCATCGATAACCTGCAACGATGGTATTTGCGGCCGGACCCTAAACGACCTGAAAATCATGGAACTTGCGAGAGAGTGGTACAGAAACGTTTTGTATCTAGGTATCCGTTTCGAGTTCGAAAACACGAGTTTTTCCAACTTCTCGACACGCACAACTAACTTTCTCTCTGGCAGCTAGTTCTATAAAGTAAAGTCTCTGGGGTGGTAATTAATTTCGGGTCGGTTGTTGGCCTGTATATAGACAAACTCGAAAGCCTTTTCAAGCGACGAAAAAACCGTTTGGAACTCTGGAAATCTGCACCGCGTAATCTACGGTGAAAAACACTCGTCAACTTGCAATTTCGTTAGGAGTAATGCCACAGCCGGAGGTTCGGGATAAGTACCTAGGTGCCTGTTAAATGGATAGGAACCTTTTTACATTTTCGGTCCAGTCATCCTTGTATACATAGTCTTGATTCGAGAAATGTACATCGCGGTCGTGATTCTTGCGAACCCAATACCTACTAGCTTGCTATGAGCAGAACGAATCGGAAACTCGAATCGGTGGAACAGGAAGAAGCTGTCGAGCCGATGATTCTCGAAACTTTCTATAAAATCATGGGAATTTTTGTATCGAAAAAATACGAACAAAATATGGAATAAAATTTGTTCATTTAAAGCTTAATTTTCGAGAAAATCGATTTTGAAAATCTGCTCGATACAGGGGCAATTGAATAGGACTGGATTAACGTTCGAAGTCGATTTTCTCGAAAACTAAGCCCTAAATGACCAAATTTTATTCTTATTTTTTCATAAGGAATCACCTCGTACCTGCTTGTACATGTTATTAGACTGCACCCTGTATGTGCGTATACCCACGTATCTACATCGTCGAGTTGGTAATTTTAGCGCGTCTAGAGTATCATCGACGATTACCTGGTGTTGCGAGAGCGAGAAAAAACGTAGAGATACCGCTTGGGAACGGGGTGGATAGAACGATGGAACAAAGAGAGACAGAGAGGCCGCGAAGCTCAAAGGTTTCGGCCTCGGTGGCGTTGTAACGACGCGGAAGTAAAATCGTATATTGTCGGCCCGTGTTAATTACCGCGAACGGCTCTGCCCTGGAAAACCATTCTTTCTTTCTCTCCACTCTTCACTCTCCACGGTCTCTTTCTCTCTTTCTCTCTCTGGTTCACCCAACGGTTCTCTCGGTCACCGGCGCGGTGGAGTCACAGGCCATTTTTTTCCCCTGCTCTGCTTCTTCTACGCCCTCTATAAATTTCAACTGGAGTATTTTCTCTTTTACGTGTACCTGTTATTGAACGAGAGAACTGCCAATAACGCCGGATAACTGCGTCACGTTTCGCCTCGAGACCCCGTTCACCCTCGCCGCTTCCATTCCCGGACCTTCCTTCCGCGCGTCCTTTCTTCCCTTGATATTTCTAATATCGTACGACATCGGGACACATAAATTACCCGCCGGGTTTCGATATAGTGTTTCGTTTCAGCCGCAGCTTGCCGCGGGACTTCGGTCGACTTTTCTCTGGACGCGTTGCTGTTTCCTATGGGGAGTACGTTAACGAGTCGCTAAGAGTCTTTTCTAGGCGTTTATTTTGTATTGTACAATCGAGTAACGACTAAATCAGTCATGGACTTCCGTGAAGTATTCCAAAGGGCTCGACGTGCATTCTGGAAACAACCTGTCGCAGCTTCGAATTTCTCGTCGGCCCATGATTTCAGCAGCACGATATAATCGATCGAAATCGGTCCTGAAAGGCTCGAAGGTGGTGGACGGCCTGAAAGACGAGAGAAATTATACACCCTATTGGCTGAAACTTACGTTCCCGTTGGTCCGCAATACGTTGCTAATGCTCTAGTAATGCGTTGGTAATTCGATGGTAATGGGGTGGTAATGCAACGCAGAGTTGACGTGAACTGAACGAGGATGTGGTGTCTCCGGTAGGAGACACGCACAAGTACATACAGTGAGTGTAAAAAGTATTCGTACACCCTTTAAAACGGAACAACTCTTTTAAAATTGGTCCAAATGACTTGAGTTTTTTTGTGAAGTTAGAGACATTATATTTACTAAATGATGTGAAAATAAAAATTTGAAAATGTTGCAATTGGTCCGAATCGCGAAGAAAATATTAAAGGTCGTGTTTTACAACTTTTTAATCTGAGGCTATAATGAAAATTTAATAAATACATATCGAAGATTTATGTTAGTTATGTACATACTGAAACTTTCATTGAAATCGGTTAATACAGAAACGAGCGACAGACATCAAAAGATGTGAGAATTGTTAGATTTACTACAGTTGTAGATCGAAAGTCGGGAAAAACTGCGATTTTCAACATTTTTAATCGTTTGTATCTCGTAGCAACGTTAACCAATTTTGATGAAATTTTCAAAATGTATATAACTAACATAAATCGTCGTTATGTATTTATTAAATTTTCATTATAGCCGCAGATTAAAAAGTTGTAAACCACGACCTTTAATATTTTCTTCGCGATTCGGAGCAATTGCAACTTTTTCAAATTTTTATTTTCACATCATTTAGTAAATATAATGTCTCTAACTTCACAAAAAAACTCAAGTCATTTGGACCAATTTTAAAAGAGTCGTTCCGTTTTAAAGGGTGTACGAATACTTTTTACACCCACTGTAAATGTATGTATCTAGTTTGCCGACAGCTTTCTTTACATTGTTCTCTGTTTGCCCGCTAAACAAGTGTCGTTACCGATTGACCGAGGAAATAACAGGAAAATATACTCACGTAAGGAGAAGATGAACGAATTGAGAAGTAAGACTGTGAACGCCGGTGAAGGGCATCGCGGACGCCTCGCAGATGGCTCTGAGAAGGCAGGCTTTCCCAGACCGCGTGTCGCCAAGGACCGACTCGAGAATTTCGTAAATTTCCCACCTGGAGATGACACGCGCCTCTTTGCCTGCTGGAAAATACTGCTGCTAAGAACAGGGAGAAGGGAAAAAGCGACCAAAGGGTTTCCAAGCGAATAGAAGAGAGTTAACGGATAAAGAAAAGACGCTTTCGGGCGTTGTGCTCGGTAATGGCGTCATAAGGCACGCAACAAAAGTAGTCTCGTTAATATGTAAAGGCAGAGGATTTTCTTCGTATTCCGACACCCGAGCTTCGTTCCCTGACCCTTCCTAGCCGAGGTACACTAGCGCGGATTTAGAGGAATCGGATTGTTACTCCGAGATCCCCGTCCCTAGAGACTGGAAAGACGACGACTCTTGTCACTCGTAACACGAAATATTCACGGTATAAGAATAATATGATAATAACGTTATTGCATCATCGAATTGGATTGTATTTAAACGGTATACATACATTGTAGGTATATGTATATATACGAGAAAACGAATGAAGGGCTATACCTACATACATACGTGTATATAAGAGAAGACTCAAATGTTCCCTACGTGATAAAAAAAAAAAAGAAAAGAAGAAAACGTAATAACACAAAATGAAATCCAAGCGGTTGAAAAGGTGAAAGTTAAATTGAAATAGAAGATATAAAAATAAAGTGGCAGGAAGCAAAGAAATCATAGTACCTTGGTGAACCAGCGAGGGGTCGTCGTTCTCGTTGGCTTCGACACTGCGGCTGATCGATCTGTCATACCGAACGTATGAATCCGTCAAGTAGGAGGCGTTATAGGGCAGGACGTAATTAAATTTCATCACATATCCGATAATCAGGCTGACGTCGACTTCCATAGGTAAACCGAGGCCGAGGATTAACTGGAACGGTTTTCAAATACACGAAGGTGTCATCGATCGTTTATGATAACCGCCAATCGAATCCCAACTGCCAGGCGCGTTCGCGACTGACATTCAACCGGACGAAATTAGATCGGGAACTATAGGCAGGGCAGATGCGGAACTGGGGTGTGCAAGCGGCAATTTCGGGATTTCCGAGCGCGAGAGACATTTACGGTGTAATCGAGAGCTCGGGCTGAATCGTGTTCACATAAAATCCTGCAATTCGCCGGTCGACAACGGCGCGGCGCGTCTCAATTTTCAAATGTTTTCACGAGAAACACGCGAATCGTGTTCGAATCGCTGTTCAAGGGAATAACACGAAACACCGATTCCCAAATACCTGTACTTTCGTCGGCGCTATGTCTCCTGGTTTCGGGAAGACCAGGAACCTCTTGTTCCTCTCGCGGATCAAACTACTCGAAGAATCGTAAAACGAAGCGAACAGAACCGAGAAAAGGAATACACGGTGCATGTTTGTCGTCTGAACGAACGAGCTGCGTCCACTCGACGGACTATCGGCGAAGGCTTCGGGACGCGCGAACGTAGACACCGGGACTCGTTAATGGCTGCAATTGGTTCGTTATCGCGAGTCGAGCGAATAATGAACCGAGTTCAATCGCAGTTCCCGTTAACATCGCGAAGGCTGACCTGGAGAGATGGACAGGTTGCATTGAAATACTGCAGCCATTGTACGTCAAGCCACGTTACCTACCTTCGGTGAATTTAATACGACGATCGGTTTCTAGTCATGTGTAGGTATATACGCGTAAATTTATAGAGCGTGACTTCAATTAACGTGATTCAACATCGAGCCAATTAATGGACTGGAAGCACACCAGGATTTTATCCGGGTCGAGGGGAGTGGATACGCAAAAGAAAAGCTGGCGAACGCAGGTATTCGTTCCGAGCTTAAAACTGCCTCGAGGACGAACAGATAAGACAAAGATCACGATGAAGAGTCGAAAGGTCTAAAAGCGGGTTTAATTGGGAAGCCGATCTTATCGTAGATTCTACCGGGTGAGACCGTTCCCGATGGATTCACGAGCATCGTCGCTGCCCGCGCGCGGCTCTTTTCCAAAATGTATCGTCGCGCGACATTCGCATTATTCGGTTCATACATTAGGTTCGGCCTCTCGCGGGCCGACCCGTCCGCTGCGATCGTAAATCTTCTTAACAACGGGCCGCAAAGACACAGGAGAGGAATATATCCTCCGTCTAGCAGAGTACCCTGGGGATTGATACGGACGGAGACCGAAATCGCTGAGAATTCCCACGAATAACCGGTCCATGGGAGGAACGTGTCGAGGGTAACGGGGAAAAAACTAGGCCTGGTGCGGCGATTATCGCGACCGGCAGCCTTCGATGTGCTCGTTGGAAAATGGAACGGAGCTACTACTCGCGATTTAGAAGAGGTTCAGGGTGATCGGTCGACGCGACTGTCTCGAGGGACTGCAAAAGAACGCGGTGAAGATAAATAAGTATTCGGGGCTCGTGAACGAGGTTCGTCGCGGAGATGCCGACTGGATCCTGTTCGCACCTCGGTACCATTTCGTCCGCCGGGCCGGTTACCCTGGTTCATTCATCTTTTCTCAGTCCGATGAACGCTTTCACGGTTCCAGCTGCGAATCCAGTTTATTTCAGCGACAATTTATTCCCATCTGGACGGGAAAACCGAGAAATAGCACTTTACTTTCCCCTCCGGAAATAGTTCTTTTCCTGAAACGCGGGGAATAGGGGGGGGGGGAGAGAATCGCGTGTTCCGCCGATTCGGGAACCGGTTTAAACCGTCCGAGTAGGACGATAAATTTTCCGGAATATGTTACGATTCCGAGATACCACCGTGCCGCGGTCGCCGATCGGGAAACCTCGAACATCCACGTTGTTTCCGCTCCCGAATTCTTATTGTTCAACTTTTCGAACTTATCGAACGTTTTCGCGTCACGGATGAGAACAAGGTGTTTAAATATTGCGCGCAAAGCGAACAGTGGGATTCGTTTCGTTCGAACGTATACAAGGTAAGTTCGAACTTGGAAATGGAACAGATTACGGGAACGGACACGAGAACGTTGAATTACAGTTCGGAATCCGGTACGGATCGTAATTTCGGATCGGCAAAGAACGCCTTTGAACAGATTTCTCGCGGTCCCGGAGGAGAGACCGACTCAGGGGACGTTACATCTCCGTCACTAAAATCAGAATAGCTCGTGCTCGGAGGGAAGATATAGGATAAACGACGAGAACCTAACGATGCGACGCGTTGCGCCGAAACACGAAATATTGTATAATATGTATACATATTCGAAGAGAATTTTACAACCCTATTCGGTGTTTCTGACTGTTCTGACTTGGAGCCGAAGAAACAAAAATCGGAACGAGAGAAGGATATGTGTTTTCCGAGGGAATGAATAAAATCCACGGAATACAGCGAGTCCGAGGTGAGCAACGTGGAAACTTTCGTATAGTTTCGTGCTCTTCCCTACTGCTCTGTACATTTGGCGATTTCGTGACACCATCTTACGAGGCAACTTTACGAGACACGGTGTTTTACCGGGACTTAAATAGAACTCACGTGTTGCAGTTGGTATACAGGGTGCGATCGAATAATCTGTACAAGCGGGTACGAGGTGATTCCTTATGAAAAAAACAAGAACAAAATATAGAATAAAATTTGTTCATTTAGGTTTAGTTTTCGTGAAAATTGACTTTGCAAAATTTACTCGATACGGGGGCAATTGAACAGGACTTGGCTAGCGTGTCTGTCCATTGCATTTCGGTTCTACTTATTACTACCGTGAATACACGCGTTTCAAATTAGCTTTCGAAGTCGATTTTCTCGAAAACCAAGCCTTAAAAGAACAAATTTTTCATCTTCCGACTCGCTTGTATATGTTATTCGGTCGCACCCTGTATACAATGGATACATATAATGATACGATACTATCGTATTAAAGTTGTTAAACAGACGCGCGCTCGCTGGGAACAGCTCGGTGCCCGACATGCCGTTGGCGTGTATCGATGCGAGCGAAAAAGGGAATTAGAAACGGGAATAATCTCGGTAAAGTGGGCTCATTTACGCATGCATGGCTTAACCACGGGCTCAGCATTTTCACCGCGACCCTCTCTCGTTTTTTCTGCTCGAGCCGATGCGACGCGACACGAAATTGCTAAAGTTGTTTAATTACCGCGACTATAGAGGGTACCTCAGCTGACTTGATCACCTCGAATAATGACGTAACGGTACACTTTCTGAAAATATTTAGGCGTGTAATTTAAGTGGCATCAAGGGACACATCTTATAAGGCACGTTTTTTTGTTTATGGTTTTGTTTATGGGTGGAGGCATTTCAGAGACAAATAATCACTGTATTAAATGCGAAGTGATCGAGTTAGGTGAGACACCCTGTATAGTCTCCGCGACATTCAACGTACGTATGGGATTACAATTGCTCAACCTTCCGTGCGTCAAAATTCGTTCATTAGCGGTTCTAGGTTCGAAGTTGTGTCAATTAACACCTCGAAACTGGTTTCTTCTCGTAGACGGACCCAGGCCTGGTTCGAACGCTTCTCAACAGTGTCTTTTACCCGAGGTTACGATCACGCGTTCTCTGGTTCAGGCATGCGGTACTATCGGGAAATACTTTTGTACGTTTCATAATTAAATGTTAATCGATACGATGCGATCGGGTCGCGACATAGGGGGCGAGGTTTACGCGGTAAAAGTTCTAAACTACGCGACGCCGTCTTTCAAATTTCCCAAATGAATTTCCACTTCGAGCTGGCAGAAGTTTTTATTTCGTTCGGTGCACATCGATATGTAATTTTGATTAAGACGCTTTCGTGCTCCCCGCGATGCATCCAAGACGTTAAACACTGGTATTGAACTCGTTCGAGTTTCTATTTACCCCACGCGTGTGAGGATTTTTACGCGTTCCTTTATCGAATCCTTTTTACGACGGGTTAGGCGAGTGTGTGTATGCGTGGTTTACTGTTTCCTACGGTAAGTGAACTTTTTTTTACAGGTTTTTCACGTTCAATCTGGCGTTGATACTCGACTCGGCTTATTCGAAGTCCTCGAATTCGGAGCTCGCTGAGATCCTACATCGACCGATCAGGGCTCTGACGTTTCCAGAGACAAGCGCTACTGGGGTACGTACATTTTCCTTCATTCTGGAACTCCCAGGATTACGAGAGCAACGGCTTCCCCGTTACGATCGGCCGATCATAGTTTCTCGTACAGCCGCTTCGATTACAGCCGCTGGAGTCTATTATACCTGTGCCAACGTATCCGATTGTAAAATATCGATCCATCCATCGAACACGAGTTAACGTGGGTGTCCTTGTTTCACAGCTGTTCATCGCACTGGCTGTGCCACTGGAAGATCCGTACAAATCAATCTCCATGGCGATGTTTTTCGAGGGAACGTACGGTTTGCCGACAAACGCGAGCGACGATTTCCTCTTTGCGGAAATCAACGCTGCAAGAAGGACGAGGAGGAGCCTGGACAGAGCGATCGTTTATGAGGTTCTGGAGAAGAAGTTTATCAGGTGAATTTTCGGTTCGAAACAAATCCGTCCTTCGCACTCACGCATCAATGTTTATTTCTCTGGTATATGGATCGTGTTTCGTTTTTCCGTGTCTCCGCGTGTTCCCTGAATCGCCCAGCGAAACGGTGTATTACGAGCGGACGAAACTGTTGCAACCGCGTACAACTGAAACGTACACGTAGATAGATGCAACGGCTGACCTAGAAGTCGTGTAGTGGGTCAGAGACGGTCTTATTTTATTTTTCACTTTGCCTCCCGACGTTCTGCGCAGCTACGGGTATCAGGGTCACGAGTGTCTGCTGAGGGCAATTTGCGAAACTTCGGAGCATCGCCTGACACACAACGGGCTCATCGGTGACATTCTGCATGTGATCTTCACGTAAGTTTCTCCTCTAGATTCTAGCGTTTCTTAATCCTCGCCCCGATAACAATCCCGCCTGTCCGGTTCATCCAACTCTGTTCTCTTTTCGGGGCAAAATTCGCGCGTCGCACGGCACCGAGAGCGCATTCAAAACGCGTCCAAACGTTCCCTCTCGAAGTCGCTCATCATGCCTGGGTCTACGACCTGAACCAAGCATTGTTCCGCGCGGAGCGTAACGCGGCAAAAGGACTCGGCTGGAAATTTCGTCGGCGCGACCTCCTTTCGCGGGCACGGCGAACAGGGCGAGCAGAGAAAAGAAGAGCCAGGCCTTTTTTCGGCCGGTCCAAGGCGGCGCAAATTGGAGTAGATACACACAGACCGTGTAGAAAAGCAAATTTGGTTTAGCTATCTCGCTTCTCCCTCGGACTGTCGGCGCTTCTTCGTTCCGGTGTGCGCGTACACGATACACCCGGGCCTCCTCTGTGTGCTCGCGCGAGCTTGTGGGTGGATAAACTCTCGAGTCAGGGACGTATGAATAAAAAAGAGGCCCCGCAGGCGGCTCGTGACGACGCATTGTCGTCGTCGTCGTCGTCGTCGTCCTCGCCGTCGTCCTCGTCGTCGACGATGTCCTATATCCTATTCGTCGGGGAATTTCCAAGCGGTTTCCTAGAGCTACGAGGTAGAAAATGGACTGGCCTGTCGGGGAGAAAATGGGTATTAGAACTAGGACCGCCGAGAACGTTCTTTCGTGACGTTTTGGATCATTTATGGTGCCGTGTCGCGACGACTGGTACCTCCGGTCGACGTTAATTCGTAATTTCGAATAGTAACGAGTTCCTCTAATTTCAAGGTAAATATATACCTATATGTATAGTTAGTCATTGAGAAAGATTAATAAATAGCGATACCTGAAGGCGATTGCGTAAACCAAACGTGCGTAAAGAAGGTGTTGTTATTTTATGTATTGTAGGTACATACATATGTAGGTGTGTATATGATCCATTGAAAGTAATTTAAAACCACACCATCGATCGATCGATCACCGTGCCTCGACGAACCAACGTCGAGTTTTATTAAATTTTTAGTCTCGTTACACGGTTACGATGTCCGCGGCGCAACACGGGCCACGATACAGAATGTACGTAGTAAATTATTATTGCTCCCTCCAGAAGGAACGTTTTAAAAGTTTTCTCGGCGGAAGGGAGCTCGCGGTGATTCACGAACGGAAAGCCGCGCTTCAACCGAGTGTACCGAGGAAAGAAAACACGACGGGCGTAGGAAGCGAGAGCGTGGAACGCGTTCCCGAGAAAAATAAAAATTGCAAATGAGTTTTGTTTTGCCGTTGAAGTTGTTATCGCGTCGAGAAGCGAGCAGGATGCACTGTCCTTCCTGGGAAATCCTTTCGGTCGGTCTCACGGGTAATTTAAGAGAATGGGTACGGGCTGAGGGGATACGAAAAAATCATCGGAACATCTTATTATACATTCCTTTTCTCTGTGGACGTTGGCATATTGAGTTGTCACGGAAAAAACGACACTCAACGAACGAATCGCGGTACCGCGGATTAGTGATGGGCACCATCGACTAAAAACTATCAACTTAGTCGATAGTAACCAACGACTACTTCCAGTCGATTAATTTTTTCAATCGTCGACTACTTTAGTCGCTTGAAGCGACTACTTTAGTCGATTAAATTTAGTCGCTTCAAGCGACTCGCTCGAACTATCGAGCTGTTGATCGCTATTGACTGGATCTTGATTATTTTCTTCGCGATGCTATGATATATATTTTTTTTTATGCATTACCAAGAACTGTGCAAATTATTGCTTATAACCTAATTGATGTTCATAAAAAATTTGAAGCAGTTAATTTCTTAAGTGCCAATATTAAATAGCTTACAAAAAATCAGTAATTGTTATACTTAAAAAATTAATAATTGTTAAAAAAAACTTGTTTACCACTTATATTTTTGAAATTCTATTTAAAAACTAATATATTTCTAAAAGGTAAATACACAATGATGCTGAAAAGTGACGACATAATCTATGCATAACCTATAAAGCAAAATTTCAGTCGATTAAAAACTATTGATTAAATAGTCGATAGTATGTTGCGACTAAATAGTCATTAGTCGATAGTTTAATTTAGTCGATGGTGCCCATCACTACCGCAGACGATCGGTGTCTGAATCGGTAGGAAAGAAATCTTCGTGATTCTTTCGAAAACGTTTGCCCTCGAAGCTGGCTCGTTTGTCTGTCCGTTGATACCGAAGGAGAGGAGTGAATTTTCAAGGAACAGAAAAGAATACTCGCGCGTTCAGGGGGTCTGAAAATCCCTGAAATCCCTCATAACGAAATTGTACAGTGTTTCATCGGCGTATCTTCGAAGGAGAACCGGCAATAAACCAAAAAGGAGCAAGAACCGCGTGGTTCCTATCTTTGGGGTTCTCTTGATTCGAAATAAAAGCGCGGAAACCCTCCGCAGGCACAGTGTTCTCGGTGACTTTTTTACGGCTGCGAAAGATACGCAAGACACATCGTCGTAGTGTGCCGCGAGCCCATTCGCGTAATCTGCCAGCGATGAAATCGAGAAACGATCGCCGGGCCGGCGTGAAAAAAAAAAAGAACGCGAAAGAATCCCGTTTATTTCCATCCAATTTTCCCGCGAACTCGCCGCGAACCCTCAATTACGTTCCCCCGGTTTTAACTGGAACGGGCAACATTGAATTCTCCGAGAGGTTCCAAGCTCGTCGAATGACCCAGAATTCCGTAAATTCAATTCTTGGATGAACCGTGACGATAGGCGAGTGGCGAAACAACGAAGGAAACGCGAAGGAAAGTTCGAGGCTTTCGAATTACCAGCCGATGCAATTGAATTTTATTCTTTCCCGCATCATTGTTAGTTCTTCTTTTCGTTTCTATTCCGCGGACGCGTCGCTATCCCCGAGTACCTTTCGATTCTCGAAATAGTCGAGCAACCTTAAATTGGCCAGAACCGAGAAAGCACCTCGCGATGGCCGACGATTTAATGGTCGTTCCTTAACGAGCCGTTTCGCGATACGCGAAGCTCGTTACCCTGGCCGTATCGCGACAAGAGAAACCTCCTTATTATCGTCCGGGACGGATGTATTGTTTGTATGTACGTATCTATGTATTGTATGTATGTACGTACGTATATACGGTGAACGCGTTGTTTTCAGACCGACAAGCTCGCGACACGAGGAACTGCCGGAGGACATTCTTCAAGCTGAAGTGGTCGGACGTAATGGAAGCTGCTCGAAGTACCAACCGCAGTGCCCCGTGGGACTCTTCGACTTGATTGGAGTCCTCGGCTGAGCCCTGAAAAACCACCGCGGTGCACCGTTGCGCTTCGACCGAGTAAACAGTTCGATTTCATGCCTCCGCATCGGCCGGCTGCTCTAGAACGCTCGAGGAGGACTCTGTATACATACATATACCGTCTTGGGTATACTCACCCGATCGATCCATCGATTCGCGTCTATCATTCGGCTCTTGCTGGAACGCGAATCAAACGGACACGAGTAGATAGTCTCTTTTAAGACGAGAAGATACTTCGAGCTCGCGAACGGTGATTTACGGTTGCCGAAACTTTTCGAAATCGGCTGAATTTCGGGATCGTCGTGACTGTAAAGTCCGCGGGAATTTCGACGCGTTCGAAGGTAAACTCGGATATTTTATAACGGTAAGTTTGAAACTCTGACCAAGTTTCATTGGGGATTCAAAGGCGCGGCAGTAGTTTAGCGTACGCGCGCGCTATAAGTAGTTAAGGGGTCATACTCAGTTAGGAGGCCGTAAAAAAGAATGGTTTTTGGGGATTTTTTTTTCAAAAACTATAAGACCCTTTTCAAAAAATGTATTTGTGTTTCAAAGATTGCAGTTTGTAGATTATAACGTCAGTTTTTTATTTAAAAATATTTATTGGTAAATAAACGGTGAGCGATCTTCCGGATGTCTCTTCACAAAAAGTGGTCTGCCGTGATCACTGTAACTTCGTAACGGTTCATCTGAAATTAAACATTCAGTAAGATTTACCTAATGGAAGAACAAATCTTGTCCTTGAACGTGGGATTTTTCGAAATATTGATTAGGAACAAAATGGCGGACATTTTCCTGAAAAAGTACGATTTTCACCTAAAAATCACTCGTTTTTGGTCAATAAAAAAAAAGTATGGAACGAACAAAAGAATCCTTCGTTCAAGGACAAGTTTTTCCGATTTGAAATAAGGCGCAAAAGGTTTCATGTAAATCGACACAGTAGTTTTCGAGAAATATTGATCACCGATTTGAAAAATGTAGTTTCGAGAAAAACGCGTTTAAAGTTTCAAGTCAAGTTTACACTTATATAAAATGTTCATTTTTTAACGCTTGTAACTCTGTCATTTTTAATTGGATTACCTTGAAACTTGCACAGAATATTCTCGAGACGTACTTAAAGAAAATGTAGATAGTGAAAAATCGATTCATCCCTCGAACATGTCGAAATTTTGTCGAAAGTTTACCGAGTTCTTCTCCGTGATTGTACGTATCGTTTCGTGGGCTACGCCTCGTCCACACGTAGCCTCTTCGTCAAGGAATCGCTCCAACTCCGAGCACGAGGTCTAGCTAAGAATTCGTGGGTGAAATTCGGAAATTGGCCCACGTTCGATCGATTTCCTTTTATAGATTCCTCGACCGAGGCGCGACAGAGGCGTGACCAAGGCGCGAATCGACGAGCAAACGAAAGTTTGCCTGCCTGGCCACTTGCCCCGTTTCCGCGAGCCCAAGTGCCGTCGCGAGAGATCTTTCGAGCAAGTATCGAAGATCTCGAGAAGGTCTCTCGAAACTCTCGCACGGTTTCAAAGGTCTTGCGGAATTCACAACGTTTACGAGCAGCCGCCGCTGTCGCGGAGCTGTTAAGATGTTTGGCAACTTTCGAGCTTTTCAACCGGCGACGCGCGGCTCGAATCGGCTCGAACTTTCCGGCGAGCTTGACTCGATTAAAACTCGCGAAATCGAATTCGCGCGAAGCTTGCCACGTTTCTCGTTAGCGTCGTGGGTGTTACCGCGTGTTAAATTAGCCGAACTTTCCTGTCCTTCGAGGTGCTGTCTAAACCGCTCTCGCCTAACTTTACGATTGTGTCTGTATAGATTCGTAGAAATATACACCGAGGAAGAAGAATTCTAATTAAATTTCAGCTGTCCGCGGTGCGAACGGTGCACTCACCCATCCGAATGGTTCCTCTGTTGCGGATGATCCGTTACTCGTCGATGCATTTCGTTCGGACGAACGATGACGAGCCAATTTCGATGGTTCGCCGAAGATATCTATAAACGGCATCGGTTTATCGGTCGAATAAACGACCGGGACGCGCCTTATAAATTTCCGAAGCTCGACGCCTACCGAAAAGGGCGCGGCGGAATGACGAACGACAATGAAATTGGATCCAGTATATTGGTGGAACGGTCCGACCCGTTACCCGTCGACGTCGATCGACTCCGAGTGTCGTGTCTTCCCGTAAGAAACAAAGGGTCGAAGGTGAGTCTGTGACAGGAGTTACTCCGAGCTGGGACCCCCTGGATCGTCGTAAATCGACGATTATGGGGGCGTTTCGCGCCAAAGGCTACGGATGAATAAGGCGGAGAAAGAAAAATGCCGTAGGAAATAGGAACAGCGTCGAATAGATTTCTTCTCGAGATACCACAGGGAACGTGTGACGTATCCACTACGCGATGAGGCAGTTAATTGTATTCGAGTTAAATTCAAAAGCAATCGAACTTGCAAGAAATCGAATCCGGAAAGGAAAGCTAAAACGCGAGACAACGGGAGTATTTTGAACTCGACGGACGGGAAGGAGCTTAAAAGGGATCTCGAAAGGTACAAACGCGCTGCGTTTCCTTGGATAAAACGACGAGCAACGGGCCTGTCGCGGTAAGAATGTATACGGTCCCTAATTAATCGTCACGCCCATACCTGTCCACCGACTCGATTCATCTTACCAGCCGGGAAGATTGATTAAAGTTACACTCCTCGATTTCGTTTCGTCGTCCCTATTCTCTTCGTCGCCGCACCGACCGGCTGGCTCTGCTCGGAGAGACCCCGCGTCGTCTCGCGATCCTTGAAATATTTAACGCGAAAACTTCGTTTTTTTAGGTTGCTTCTACGCCAAATACCTTTGAAAGGAGTGTGGCGGGTCGTACATGAATTTTCAGTTAAATACTAGCCAAGTTTCCCGGCAAAGTGTCTTGACAGGCAGCTCTTTGATGTATCCGTAAACCTGGATCCGCCAAAGGAAAAGCTCGGAATCTCTCGAGAAGTTGCACGAGGAACCTCTTTATTGCGATCGACCTTTGACGTTTTTTTACTTTTTGGTAACGTACCTACCTATGCAACGTAGATAGTTTTTCTTTCGAGACGCCTGCGTCTGCATGCACACGTCTTTCTAGCATTTCGCTCTCTATCCGTTCCAACCGCAGTAATTATCGCATCCACGTCCGAAAAACGTTCGCACTGCTTTTGCTTTTTCTCTGGCAAAGCGTTCGGAGGAACGGTAAAATACAAACACCTCGTCTTCCATTGTCTATTCGCGGAAACTTTTGCCACGCGTGAAAAATAAACACATGTTTGCACGTATGTATCTTTAAGGGAAGGATCTACGTACTTACGGCACTGGTATGGGCACGGTAACACGTACACGTACACGTCTCGTGCACAGATGATACGACAAGAAAGGATGCGACGTGCATTCCGACAAATTCCCAGCTAACAAAAGCAATCCCGTTTGCAAATCTCTCCCTCTTGCGGAGAAAATGTATTAGTCGAGAAATTTCCTCCTTTAAAGTACTGCATTTTCTTTCGAGAAGATTCCACTTGCCGAAAGTTTTGAACGAAAAGAAAAAACAGGAGGAAGAGAAAGGAAATCGTAAGAAATCATGTGGACCGATAAATTTGGAAGCTCGATGTCGTATGCCACGGGGATGACGCTTCCAAGAAAGAAAAACTTCCAGAACGAGTTTCGCGAAAAACAAATTTGTTTTCCCGCAGAGATTCGTTCGTTCTCGTTAAATACACCCGGTCGTTGGAATCGGTTCTTCCTGCGGTCGGCGGACGCGAACGATACCTCTCTCCCTGTCTCTGTCTCGTCGAGAATACAGCGACGATTCTTGTCGGCGGATCGCGGGAGAAGTTCGTTAACCAGTGATTGCAATATTTATACGAGCGAATTGAATCCCGGACTGTCGGCATTAATTACTTTCCACGAATTTCCCAGAATAATCCGGGCCGTAATAGCTTCCATTGATTCGCCGCTCGACGAACGCGCCGCGCTGGAATTTGCATACCTGCTAAAGAAAGTCGCGTGTATGTCGTCGAACTTCCGAATTTGCGAGTGAAGATTAGTTGTTTGGCAGGCCAGGCTGGGTTGGGCTGCCGAGAAGTCTGTAACTTGGAAGAGTTTAACAGGAAATCTGTGCAGGCAACGACAGACGATCAGAGGGAGTCTTCCAATTACTCGATCATTGGAACGAATAAGAAGCAAAGTGATGGAAAGAGATAAACAAGCTTTGGAATATGTTGGCGCGTCTTGTTGTACGTTGCCTTCCTATACGTGGGGTACCTCGTCCCTGATCTAATCAACGCGAAAACAAAGAATAAACCAACAATCGGACTCGGCTGCGCTCGTTTTAGCTTCAAAGAGTTATGAGAGATCGGAGTCAGGTCGCAACCGCTAAGCTGAGGGCTGTGTATTCCGCAGCGATGAGGCAATCTGATAGGATTTAAGTTCCGGTCGGAATGAAAGTAAAGCCACCACGGCCACGATTAAACCCTCTTGGTACGTTGATTACCAAACCGGACAGCTCGGGAAGGGTAGCGGTTGGTTGGCCCGGCGTTTCTGCCGGAACGAGAAACGAGAAATGAAAATCGATTCGCCAGACCGCGCGTCAGCCGTCCTCTTCGGATACTCGATTTTCCCGCTTAACAGGGATCGACGGGCTGGCGGACGGAAGGGCGAGCGAGCGCGATTAGTAGCCGGTCGATGACGCCTGTGGTCGTAGAATTTCGCGTTGAAATACTAGTGATCGAAGAAGCACGGGTAACCAACCGGCGACTTCGATAGAGAATATCACGGAGTAAATCGCGGGCAGCGCGTAGGAATGGGAGAGGGATTCGGTGAGAATCAAGGAAGGAAAGTTGCGCAAGGAAGCAATAAAGAGGACAGAAACATTAGCCAGCTGACAGCGGCAGAAAGGAGGGGTAGAGAGAAAAGGGAAAAAAGGATAAAAATCACGGAGGTGGTTGTTACCGAGAGAAGAAACGCTCCGGAATAATCAAAGAAGAA